CCCTTACCTGAATCCTGTCACTTTGTCATTCCTAGCTTTCCCTCCTTCCTGCCTCTTGGTGGAGCCTGTTTCCCTCCCCTTACTGGATCCTGCCACTTTGTTGTTTGCTTTTACATGAATATAAGGTTAATGAAAAGACCATGGCTTGGGTCACATAAACTTTCATCTTCAAAGTGACATCTTTGCTCTTCAATAGTTTAAAGAGGTCTTTTGCAGTAGATTTGCTCAGTGCAATATGTTGATTTTTTAAAAAAAATTTTATTGTGATTTGGGTGAAAGTTTACATAGCAAATTCATTTCCCATATAGCAGTTCACACATATTTTGTTTCATGACGTTGACTGTAGATCTCCACAATGTAACAGCTTTCTTCCCTCTTCAAAAATAAAGAATGCTTCGTGAATTTGCATGTCATCCTTGCCCAGGGTCATGCTAATCTCCTCTGTATCGTTCCAATTTTAGTATGTGTGCTGCTGAAGCGAGCACTGTTGTTTGATTTCTTGACTGCTGCTTCCATGTGTTGAATGTGGATCCAAGTACAATAAAATCCCTGACAACTTCAATCTTTTCTCTTTTTATCATGATGATGCTTATTGGTCCAGTTGTGAGGAGTTTTGTTTTCTTCATGTTGAGGTGTAATCCATACTGAAGGCTTCATCAGTGTTTCAAGTCATCTTCATTTTCAGCAAGCAAGGTAGTATCATCTGTATATCATAGGTTGTTAACGAGTCTTCCTTCAATTCTGATGCCATGTTCTTCTTCATATTGTCCAGCTTCTCAGATTATTTGCTCCACATACAGATTGAATGAGTATGGTGAAAGGATACAACCCTGACACACACCTTTCCTTATTTGACCATTCAGTATCCCCAAATGCCTCTTGGTCTATGAACAAGTTCCTCATGAGCACAATTAAGTGTTCTGGAATTCCCATTCTTCTCATTGTTATCCATAATTTGTTATGATCCACACACTTGAATACCTTTGCACAGTTAATAAAACACAAGCAAACATCTTTCTTGCATTCTCTGCTTTCAGCCAAGATCCATCTGACATTAGCAATGATATCCTTCATTCCATGTCCTCTTCTGAATCAGGCTTGAATTTCTGGCAGTTCCCTTAAACAACCATTTTTGAATTATTTTCAGCAAAATTTTAGTTTAATTTAGGGAATGGAAATACCTATCTTTTAATTAATCAAAATTATGCATTGAATATAGAGGACTCACTTAACTTGTTAAAAGCACACAATCTTAAATGTCAGCTACTAGGTTTCTGCTATAATATCTATTTAGAAGATAAAGGAGGACATTTTGAGGAAATGAGAAGATAGAGAAGATTGACTTAAAAAAGATATGTAGACATTTCTGAACCACTGATACCCCAGTGGGATGAGTTGTGACCTCTTTTTCATATAACTGGTTTCATTAGATCAGATCTCAAAGTTTTTAAGTCAGGATTTCTAATGGAAAGACAAGATAGCAGCTGGCCTTCAGGAATTAAACTCACACAACCCCATCAATTACCAAGGTAGCAAAATCCTGTTTCTTCATCAAGTTGCACATCTGAAAATAACACATGGCTCTACCCTTGTATAGAACATTCTTATGATATTGGGGTACTCAAGGTAGTTCTGAGGATAAATGGAAGTGAAGTGGGTCCACAGATGAGCACACTTTAGAGGACACTGGAGTTGTGAGAGAGGATACCTGAGAGGACATGCTCTGAGTCAAGGAACCCACAGTGGCATAGCTAGAGAGAGCAGAGGCTTTGCTACCCAACTCTAGATTTGTGCAACTTAGGGGTATGTTTTGAGGCCTAAAAAATGCATTTTTTCCCCTAGGATAAAAATTACAGTACTGCTTAATATTTATTTATTTATTTAAATGAAACAAAAAGGAAAACACATCACTGGCATTGAGTTGATTCCAACTCACAGTGACCCCTATTGGGTTTCCAAGGTGGTAAATCTTTATGGAAGTAAGTCATCCCATCTTCCTTCCATGGAATGGCTGGTGGGTTTGAACCACCAAACTTCTGGTTAGCAGTCAAATGCCTTAGGCACTGGGCCACTATAGCACCTTTCTTTCTTTTCTCTCTCTCTTTTTTTTTTAATCAAGGGGGTAACAATAGGCTGAAAATAAAAATAGTTAGGGATACCAGAATAATTTATGTAAATTAATGTGTAATAGATTAATATCAGGCTATAAGAAGCCTGATATATTGAGGTGAGGTCCTCACCTTGGGAAGGTCACACTATGGGGGATCTTTACTTGCTCCCATTCCTACCCGTGAGCTTTCTCTGACAGAAAGAATATTTGGTTGGTCATACACAGAGTGCCACTGATCATTTTTCTGAAACAATATTGTTCTATTCAAAGGAATAAGTCATCTGATGTAAAATGGCATCTATTGCTTGATAAATTAGCATTCTCTAATTTAAAAAAAATTAAAAAATGTGAATCGAATTTTTCAAACCCTTGTTTTGAAGAATAAAATAGCCAAACTCACTGAGATCAAGTCAATTCCGACTCATAGCAACTCCCACTGGGTTTCCAAGGTTGTAAATCTTTACAGAAGAAGAACACCCCATCATTCTTCTGCAGAACAGATGGTAGGTTCAAACCTCTGACCTTTTCGTTAGCAACCAAATGCCTTAACCACTATACCACCAGAGTTCCAAAATGCTTACAAATGCTTTGCATTTATAGAAATTACTCATGTAGCCCTGAATTAGTGGAAAATAGAAAATGCAAAATTGAGAAAACCCAGAGCAGGTAGCTTTATATGACTTCCTTACTAAAATAGTATGACAAGGTCAACTCACTACTTTAAAATCTTTTTGTGAAAAAAATTCCCTTGATTCTGAACAGATACACAGTTAGATTTAAAGGGAAAATGCCCTATTAAATTTGAAGACAGAATAATTTATTAGAAGAGTAGTGACAATGGGAAATTTGGTTTCTGGGTACGGGATGGACTTTTTTTTCCTCACAGTATTATGCACTTAAATACATTGCTGTGGAGTTGATTTTGAGTCGTAGCAACTTCATAAGACAGAAGAAAACTGCCCATAGGGCTTCTGAGGCTATAATCCCTACAGAAGAAGACTGCCACATCTGGTGGGTTCAAACCACTGATCTTTTGGTTTGCAGCTGAGTGCTTAACCACTCTGCCACCAGAGCCTCCTTACTTTAGTTACAAAATCAGCAGAGGTTGCAATGCTAATTTATTAGTCAACTGACTGGACTTGGGGTTCTCAAGAGAATATCAGAAACAAGTCAAAGGGAATAGTAGTGCTCATCATTAAAATCCATGTGTATTTCCTTCTCAGGGCAGAACTATGTACTTTTAGGACGAAGTCCTAGAATATGTCATTCCTACTTTACAATGACTTGTCTTTGTGTTTGCAACCATGTCTTCAAAGGGAGTCTGTATATTCCTGAAACAGATTTCAATCCATTCTACTACTGGCCATAATTTCACATATAATAACTGCTTTATTGAAATATAATTTATATACCACAACAAAGTTCACCCATTTAAAGTGTACAATTCAAAGATTTTTGGAATATTTACAGAGCTGTGCAATCATCATCATACCTTAATTTTAGATATTTTAATCACTCTGAAAAGAAACCTTGCCCTCATTAAGCAGTGACACGATATTTTAAGCCAATGGCTTTTCCTTGCTTCTTGGTGCATTTTGTTGAAGGAATCACTTCCTTAAGGAGGAGAGGCAAAGGGAAAAAAGAAATATGTATAGGAAAGGAATTATTGTGTCAGATTTTAAGTGTTTTGATCCAGTCTCTCCTCCTTCTACCAATAGACTCAGGAGCAGTACAGTTATCAGCTTTTGTGAAAATCCCTGAAGCAATTCCAGAAGATCACGTGGCAACCACTCTCAGAGTGTGAAGGCTTGTGTGGTTGTCATGGGGAAGGCTTTTCAATTGAAATAAAAATACTCAGCCTCAGCCTGCTGCCATAGAGAAAATGCTTTTCACCCATGCACACCAGATAATTCCACCTAAGTGACAGGTTTTACCTTGGAGAAGCACTGAACTGAGCTAGTTTACACAGTCAATTACTGCTCATTCCACAAAGAAAGAACTGGGAGGGAAGGAAGGGAGGGGATGAAGGTTAGCTACACAATACTGAGGTGGCTGCCAGCCAGGCGAGGGGAACATCTCCCCAGCTGTTTCTAGTACCTTAAGTACCTACCTATTTGTGGAGAGAAACAGGTGCTTCAGACAGCTCTTCAACACACACACATGTATGTGTGTTCGTGTGCATATGCACACACACAGACACACACACCTCAATTGTGGTATGTGAAGAAACAAACACCCAACCAAAACAAATAAGGGTCTGTTCTGTTCTACAAAGTAACTTTCTCTCTTCCTGTTTAAATTTCTTCATACCACCTTTTAGGCAAAACAGGATGTGAAATACAGCTCAGCGGCTGTGTTTATTGATTAGGCTTACACATCTCATGAAATAACACAAGTCATAAGAAACAAGCCAAAGCACGGAGTAGAACGTCAGGCATGCAGGACCATGAATTGCTGGGTTAGATGCATAAGTATTTCAAGAGAGAATCTCATCAAAAGATAGATAGCTCCCAGTGAAACAATATGGAAAAGGGCTGAAGAAAACATCTCAAAATAAATGAAGTACTTATTGCTGAAAAATGAGCTTAGCTCTCAAGCAATTCTAAAGTTCAGAATTTACTGCACCACTCACCCCTTTTCCTCCAACTTTCTTGTCTCTTGTTTCACTGCACAACAAGGGATTCTTCATACTTTATATGAAATACAACAAGGCGATTTTTGCCATAATAAACTCCGCACATGCATGAGAAATCCAAGCATGCAAAATGTTTAACATCCCAGTTCACAGATACTTTAGGGAAAAAAATCCGATTATGAATTATATACCACAATAAATAGGGCTCAACGTTTCATAAAGCAATTTATAGTTCATAAAAATGACAAAATGTACCTGTCAGATAGAGCGCGGAGAGCAGTTCTCTGTGCTGCCTGCTGGAAGAAAGGGCAGAGATGTTTATTTAATATTCTGACTTTTAAATTATGTGCTCAATCAACACTTTAAAGAACCCATGTTACACACAGCTTTGTCATGTGGCCAAAATTTAAACTACTAGCTACAGTCAAGTGTATGACATACACAGTCAAGTGTATGTCAAATGAACATTCTGAATGAGTTAATGGAAGACTTGGTGCACACCTGCCTCCAGTGGACGAGCCTGGGGAGGCCCGAAGCATGTGACAGGTGAGACACAGGTGATGTTTAACAAGTCTCAGGAAACCCAGCAAAGATCAGAGCTATTTTGTTTTAATCCCTCAAGTAATTTTTACTACTGCTTTATTCTATTTTCCCATAAGGAAAAAATCTATTCTGATTCCTTTGTAGCTTTTTTTTTTAACCAATGAAGGTATAATTTTCAGATTTATTGAGAAAGTCTCCACGATTGGAAATCTCAACAGTGACCAGGAATCTGGTAATATTATGGAATTACTGATTTGTTCTAGGTTTAGTAATGATATTGTAGTAATGTTTTCTTAAAGTAATCCTTTAGAGATTCATATTGAAATATGTATGGATAAAATTATATGATGCTGAGATCTGCTTTAAAATAATATAGTTGGAGGGAGGGGGAGTGGGTGGACATAAAACAAGCTGGCCTTGGATTTATAACTGTTGATGCGGGGGGTGAGGTCACTAGGTGGTTATTACCTTATTCTATTTTTGTATGTGCTTGAAATTTTCTAGAATAAAAAACTAACATCAAAGACCTCCATTTCTCCATCAAATTTCCCCAGTTTTGTACTTACTTTCCATTCTATTTTTTTGTTCAACTTATCTTCTATACTGGGCATTATTAGGCTAAGAAAGGCAGAAAAGAACACTAGGTTTTCTATCTTTGAAGTCATAATTGAGTGTAGATAAAAGCATGGTCTTTAACACCAAAACTTACTCTGAGGTACACCAGGTAAAAGTACACATAGTCCTCTTCCACCTTGCACACTACATCAAAAAATTCTCACACTACTCCTCATTACATTGAAATAAAGACAAGATGGACTCTTTAGATTAGGAAAAATGTGACATCAGAATCATCATCTATACAGAAATGAAATTTATCCTTGATACTTAACACCCCCATGTTAGTTCCATGAGCTTGGATCATCCAGTCATTTTCAACATTTCCTGTTACATGGAGTGTTGGACTGGGTTCCATAAAGGGGGGGGGGGGAAGGAAGAAATAGTTATCCTGAATAAGCTCAATTCCTAGGTCAGAAGTCAGGATAGAGGTTCAGGGATGACTTGAGGGTACATATGGGAAAACATGAAAATAAAAAGATTAAGGTATAACAGTGTTAGCAAGTGTAGATATGAGTGGTAACTAGTGATTGGGTGGGATAAGAGCCTCAAGCTATGCCTGGCACATAGGGTGTACTCAATAAATATTTGCTGAGTAAGTGTTAACTTAATAAATCAATTAAGGAGTACTTCCCACTGAAATACAAGCAGAGTTTTAACACAAGGAGGGCTATGATCAGGATAGAAGGACTATTGGCAGTATTAGAGTAGATGATAAAGCAAGGTCTGTCCAAGCCTCTTACAGTTGTTCTCAACTGGGGTATGAATGCATCCCTCACCCCTTACTCCCAACCGCATGGATGTCTAGAACTGAATAGGGGGGTTTCTGAGTGTTCCTAGCATGAAGTGCAATCACTATTGTTATTTAGTGCCTGGGGCCAGGGTTGCAAAGAACAGTATGGTCCCTGTACAACATGGAAGTGTCCTCTTAAAATACCAATAACGCTTCTGTAGAGAAATGCTGTAGTAAATCACGAATGAAAGGCAGATCTGAAAGGAATGATTCATGAGCTTCTGGGTCTGGCAAAACAAACTGAAAAGGAAACAATGTGTGGACTTATATAATTTCCACAAGAGATGTAACCATACTGATTTAGGAAAACACAAAATCTGCTGATCTGGGAATTGAGAGTCCTGCATTCTGGGACAGGTTTGCCTTTAATTTATTATGGATCTAGAGCCTGTCTCTCAACCTACACGTGAGTTTCCAAATTGCTCCTCCTTTCCCTGAATGAGATGATGAGGAAGCCACTCCAGTCAATGTCATTTTGGCTAGAAACAGCTGCAAACATCTATTAACAATCAAAACATGGAATGTATGAAGTATATGAATTTAGGAAAATTACAAGTTGTCAAAAATGAAATGAAATTGGTTTACTGATATAGGTCAATATCCTAGGCATTAGTGAGCTGAAATGGACTGATATTGGCCATTCTGAATCAGACAATTAAATGTCTACTATGCTGGGAATGACAAATTAAATAGGAATGGCACTGCATTCACCATTAAAAAGAACACTTCAAGATCTATATTGAAATACAATGCTGCCAGTGATAGGATAATATCTACACAGCTAAAAGGAAGACCAGTTAATACCACTACTATTCAAATTTACATACTAACCACTAACATCAAAGATGAAGAAATTGAAGATTTTTACCAATTTCTGCAATCTGAAATTGGCCAACCATGCAATCAAGATGTATTGATAAATAATGGTGATTAGAATGCAAAAGTTGGAAACAAAGAAGAAGCAAAAGCTGAAAACAAAGAAGAAGCATCAGTGGTCGAAAATATGGCCTTGGTAGAGAAATGATGCTAGAGACTACATGACAGAATTTTGTAAGACCAATGACTTATTCATTGAAAATACACTTTTTTTCATCAACATAAATGGTGGCTATACACATGGACCTTGCCAGATGGAATACACAGGATTCAAATAGACCTCATCTATAGAAAGAGGCAAGGGAGAAGCTCAGTATCATCAGTGAAAACAAGCCAGGGGCTGATTGTGGAATCGACCATCGATTGCTTATGTGCAAGTTTAAGATGAAGTTGAAGAAAATTTTAAAAAGTCCACGAGAGCCAAAATATGATCTTGAGTATATTCCACCTGAATTTAGAGACCATCTGAAGAACAGATTTGATTCATTGAGCACTAATGACTGAAGACCAGAGGAGCTGTGGGATGACATCAAGGACATCAAATATGAAGAAAGCAAACGACCATTAAAAAGATAAGAAAGTAAGAAAATACCAAAATGGTTTTCAGAAGAGATTGAAAGTTGCTCTTGAATGGACAGTAGCTAAAGCAAAGGGAAGAAATGATGATGTAAAGAGCTATACAGAAGATTTCAAATGGCAGCTCAAGAAGACAAAGTAAAGTATTACAATGAAATGTTCAAAGACCTGGAGTTAGAATATCTTCAGCATTTCTTTCTTTCTTTCTTTTTTTTTAGAAGCACATTTACATTACAGATAGACTTGATTAACTAGGCCTTTATACATAAAGTCCACTCAGCCTAAATAGGAAATGTATGGGCCCAGAGAAGGGTTTATTAAAGGATTCAAAGGGCAGGTAGAGTTGTTTCTTGGTTCTTCTTTTGCAGAATTGACTTAGTAGAGAATTCTTCAGAGTCCCTAATGAGGTCAAGATGGGAATGGATTTAGACTCATTCAGACTCATTTGATGTAATATTATTGTTAACATGCATTGAGTATTTATTATGTACTAGCCACTATTTTTTTTTTTTCTTTTAATTGTGATTTGGGTGAAAACTTACAGAGCAAATTCACTT